TTGTACTCCCCTTAAAATCTCTGTTTTCATTAAAGGACACATCGGAGATCTTGATTCTCTGACCATCGGGTTATATCACCACCATCAATAGTCCAGAGGTTCAAGATCGTCACCAATTATCTCTGACCATTGGAGGTGGCGCATAACCCAATGGTCGGAGATCCTAAATCTCTGCTGTGTCCTTCAGTGAATAGCAGACAAATGGTGGTATGCAGTACGTGGGTGGCATCCATGTTTGTTAATTGCATATTTAGACAAAAATAATACAATCTCTGTGTGGCCTATCCTGCAATCGCAGCAGCTGCAGATTTTGAACGCCAAAAGAATACCTCAAAGCGTGGACTGGCTAAAAGTATAATGGCGCCCCCCCCCATTTATATGGGTATCAGGAGCCGCTGACGTCTCTAAATACTAACATCTATCGATTTTACCTCGTCCTGTCGTTGTACACAGCCCGGACCCCGATGTACTAAAATTCAGGCAGCCCTCCAGCACACAGAGCTATGAGACCCCACCCTGCAGCCTTGATTCTGTGAGCTGATACAAAGGGTCAGAAGACCCCCCCAGTCCAGTCCACAGAGAGTGCTGGGACCCCCTCCTCTCTTCCTCCTCTCATAATAAGAAGACATCATTACCTCCTCCTCCTCACTGGGCACACACTCTGCAGCCTAACAATCAAAGAAACAGGATACTGGCACTACCAAACTTACTTCCTGTCCTCAACTGAGGGCTACAACAAAATGGCCGCCGCTTTATTTTTTTTCAATAGGTTCAACAAATAAAAAGTTTATGTTTGCTTGGGCACGAAAAAGGGGAGTGCAAACGTGCCAGAGAAAGACAAACTTCATATTAATAAATACTGAAATGTATACGCCCATCTGTAACACATCTGTAGGTCCCTCAGCTTGTGCGGTCTCCAACAATATGGCCGCCAACGGCCCAGCTTAAAACTCCAGTAAGGATTTTGTTTATAGTTGTATTACGGTACTTTCTTTGTTATTTTAAAACCAAAATAAACGGCTGAATAACACTTTCCAGGAATAACTGATTTTTGACCAAATTGTTCTATAATGTTTGCTTGGTCTACAAGAAAATGTCCGCCGTTCTCCCGTCTAGAAGCGCTTAGGAGGCTGTCATCGCCATGGCAACCAGACAGCTGCTGGGCGGTATCAGCAACAGTGGAAATCACAAAGAGGAAGCGCTGGAGCCACATGGCTGGAGTGAGAGGTGTGTTTCCGGTGCTGATGGAGGACAGGGGATATGAACAGGGGACAGAGAGCTGCTCAGGGCTGAGAGGGGTCCAAGCAATGCTGGTAATAATAATAATATAATAATATTCTACTAATAATAATGATAACGAATGAGTATATTAAATATATAAACATATATACCGGTACTTATACCTATTACTATAAAAGTAATTATATTGCTTCACTCATTGCTTTCATAATTGATACCCAATAGCATGTGTGACGTACCCCATGTCATAGCAGCCAATCAGATTGCAGACCTCATTGTTTTCGGGTATTACCATAGAGCAGAGGATGGCAGGATGGGTGACACTCTGGAGCAGAGTCCCTCCCCGGAGTATTCGCTGAGGATGGAGAGAGAGTGGAGTCACATGACTAAGAGGATATTACAGCTCACCCTGGAGATCATCTACCTGCTGACCGGAGAGGTGAGGAGGATTCTTGGAGGTCAGATGACATCACTCTTATCCCTATTAATAAAACACAGACCTGACCAGGGAGGTGAGGAGGATTCTGGGAGGTCACATGACTAGGGTTGCCACCTGTCCAGGATTCACCCGGACAGTTCGGGTTTTGAATGCTGTGTTCGGGTTTCATGGCAGCAGAAACCCGGACACATGATGTCAGGCAGACAGGGGCAACCAGAATTAGGATAGGGGCTACTGGCCCCCCACTGAAAATAGTCTCAACTGTGATATTTACATATGAATGGGCGGGGCTATTTACATATAAATAAGCCGCAACTCATTCTCCCAAAAATATGTCCGCGCATCGCTAGAGTGTGTTCGGGTTTCGCTTGAAGAATAGGTGGCAACCCTACACATGACATCACTCTAGAGCTGCAGATCACTCTTATCTCTAGTAATAACACACAGACCTGACCAGAGAGGTGAGGAGGATTCTGGGAGGTCACATGACATCACTCTTATCTCTATTCATAAAACACAGACTTGACCGGAGAGGTGAGGAGGATTCTGGGAGATGCAGGTTTATCAGCCCCGGAGATAGTTATGTTAGTGTGGCCTATGACTGGACAGGTTATACATTGGTGTGGCTCTATGTACATGTTTGTTACTAGGATTATGGACCTGTGAAGAAGAGCCATGGTCCTTGGACACCCAGCAGCCCTCCTTTGGGGTTGGAAGGTTGGGGCAGGAAACAAACACCCATTGTGGATCCCTCACCTCCCTCCATGATACCCACCACAGTCAACGATAAGAAGGTTCTGGAAGTCACCCAGAAGATCATTGAGCTGCTGACAGGAGAGGTGAGCGGTGCCGGGAATTCTGGGACATGATCCAGGAACAGACAAGGGATGTGTCTGGATGGTGACTGTATCATTGTGTGTGTGTCAGGTTCCTATAAGGTGTCAGGATGTCTCTGTCTATTTCTCCATGGAGGAGTGGGAGTATCTAGGAGGACGCCGGGATCTCTACAAGGACATCGTGATGGAGAACCGGCCGCCCCTCACATCACCGGGTAAGAGGAGACTTTCATTTCTTGAGTATTGAGGATCCCCCTAGATACACACATCCTCTGATATAAAGACATAGAAACAATGTATTCAGTCAGTGTGTGTGTGTTTCCTACAGATGGATCCAGGAAGAGGAACCCACCAGAGAGATGTCCCCGTCCTCTGTATTCCCCGGATTCCACACAGGAACATCAGGAGATCCCTCAGACCCGTCCTCTGTATTCCCGGGATTCCACACAGGAACATCGGGAGATCCCTCAGGCCTGTCCTCTGTATTCCTGGGATTCCACACAGGAACATCAGGAGATCCCTCAGGCCCGTCCTCTGTATTCCCGGGATTCCACACAGGAACATCAGGAGATCCCTCAGGCCCGTCCTCTGTATTCCCGGGATTCCACACAAGAACATCACCAGACCCCTCGGGATGATCAGGTAGATGGAAATGAGGGTTATACCTGATATATTGGTATTGTCCCATCTCCCTTCCAGTCACAGTGTGCTCATATTCTGCATTGTGTTTTTTTTAGAGTAACGGCCTTGTAATTGTCAAACTGGAAACTGATGAAGATTCCTTTGTGAGGGGTGGTGAGGCGTGTAAGGAGGATGATGTTCCTCCAGAGATCAGCACAGGTGAGGAATAAACACTAAATCCAGAAGAGAGTCCCAGATTCTCCTTGTTCAGTCACTACAACAATCTCTTCTTCTCCCCCCTCCTCTGTCAGTAGACAGTGATGGGGGGACGGAATGTGTCTAGTGGGGGGAGTCAGGAGCCATCAGCCTCTATTAGTCTCCAGCTCTCCTTTTAAAAAACAGTTGTAGTGTAAAATTTCTTATAGCAATGGGCAACTGGTATGATAGAAGACCAGAGGGGCAACCTGTGTCCACAGTATGTTATCATTAGATGATAGACACTAAGATGTAGACAATACGGCCAAGAGTCTGTGAACATCTGACCATCAACCCTATATGAGCTTCGTGGACATCCCATTCCAAAACCATGGCCATTACTATGGAGCTGGCCTCCTTTTGTAGCTATAACGGCCTCCATTCTTCCTGCAAGGCTTTCCACAGGATTTTGGAATGTCTTTTCAGCCCAAAGGGCATGTACTGGGATCATCTCATCCCACACTCATGGACCTGCAGGCCAAAGATTCTCAGCCCATCTTGAGTCTCCAAATGGTGGACTTTTCTAGGCCCTCAAGGATTCAGGGGGAAGTAAATGTCTCTGTTCTACCATAGTTTGAGCAAGTAAGGTTGCGCAGTAGGGCTGCAATTAAATAATCGATTATGAGAATAGTTCTCAACTATTCTTATTATCGAGAGAGAGAGAAAGATCAAGAGAGAGAGAGATATCAAGAAAGGGAGAAAGATTGAGAGAGAGAAAGATCGAGAGGGAGAGAAATAGAGAGATATTGAGTGAGCGAAAGAGAGATATCAAGAGAGAGAGAGAGATATAGAGAGAGAGAAAGAGCGAAAGAGAGATATCAAGAGAGAGAGATCGAGAGGGAGAGAAATATAGAGAGAGAAAGATTGAGAGAGAGAGAAAGATCGAGAGGGAGAGAAATAGAGAGAGAGCGAAAGAGAAAAATGAGAGAGAGAGAGTTTTTAATGCAACTAATCGATTAATCGAAAAAATAATCGGGCAACAAACCGATTATAAAAATAATCGTTTGCTGCGGCCCTATTGCTCAGCAAACAGTAACTGGCTGGGGGCCTAATCAAGCCGATGTGCCCAGGCCAGCCAGTCCCCACTAGTCCTCTTGTGCTGATGTTACTCCTCTTCTGGATCCTGAGAGAAGTCCGCCGCTGGACAGCCAATAGGAAGTGTCCATGTCACACACTCAGTGACGTGGACATTTAAAGAAAGACCACCTCCTGTAAACAGAAGAAAGAAGACTGGACTGGAGCTTCACATGACCACAGCTTTTGGTGAGTAAGGATGTTTTGCCAGCCATCAATTAAAGGGGTGTTGGGCATATGTGAAGCCCATAGATCAGCTTCAGACTCCATTTTCTGTTTCCTCCAGATGGGCAATACAAAGGGAACAAGGCCAAGAAAAGTCCCATCATCCCTCAAGATGGCAAGATGGAAGAACATGAGGTCACAGCAGGTTTTTCAGAAGTAAGCACCGTCACCACAGACCTACACCCAACTTTTCCCAGTCCTGCCCACGGGGGGTGTCTTCCCAATGTCCGCCAACCTCCTGCCCGTCATACAACACGTGGAATTTTCAAGAAGTTCCAGTGTCCTGACTGCGGCAAGTGTTTTTCCTCAAGAACCAAAGTCCTCTCGCACCGGACGACCCACACTGGTGAGAAGCCGTATTTGTGTACCGAGTGCGGGAAGAACTTTTCCCAGAAGTCCCACCTCATGAGCCACCAGACGATCCACAGCGGCGAGAAGCCTTATTCCTGCCCCACCTGCGGGAAATCCTTCAGCCGCCAGGCCCACCTTGCCGACCACCAACGGACTCACGCCGGGGTGCGGCCGTACTCCTGCCCCGAGTGTGCAAAGTCTTTCTCTTCTAAGTCGAACCTACTGAGGCACCAAAAGATCCACTCGGGGGAGAAGCCCTACTCCTGCTCCGAGTGCGGCAAAAGCTTCATGGGCCGCTCGAACCTTGTGAGACACTGGAGGACCCACTCGGGGGAGAAGCCATTTTCCTGCTCCGAGTGCAGAGCCTGCTTCACCAGCAAGTCGCACCTGGAGCGCCACGAGCGCAGGCACACGGGCGAGAAGCCTTATTCCTGTTCCGACTGCGGCAAAAGCTTCGCCCACAAGCCCAACTTTCTCCTTCACCTGCGGGTCCACGCCAACGTGAAGCCATTTTCCTGCGACGAGTGTGGGAGGAGCTTTGCCAAGAAGTGCAATTTCTTGACGCACCAGAGGGTCCACACCAACCAGAAGCCGTTTTCCTGCGCCGAATGCGGGAAGTGTTTTCCGTGGCGGTCGTCCCTGGTTTGTCACCGGAGAACGCACGGTGTGGACAAGATGACTCCGTGTCAGGTGGGCGGGGACGCAGAGCCGATCTTTCCTTGTGAAAAGAGCGATTCGTCCTTTTGATAAAGCTTTTTGATGGCAACAATCCTGGACTCCTGGCTGGAGGGTCATGTGATGATATCTAAAGCACAATTCCAAAATAAAAATTATTAAGGTCAGTTATAGTTCATCATTGCCCATTATTACCTGCTTCTGTTCTGTAGATAATGAGACCATCACTTCCTCAAACTAATTGGGAATGGGTGGGGGTGGCTGGCTCCTGTAATCACATGAGCTATGACTGCTGGGCGGTCCTGGCAACCAATGATGTTGCGTTCCTCCTCTGCAGTCCTTGGTTGCTATGACCGCTGGGCAGTCTTGGCAACCAATGATGTTGGGGTCCTCCTCTGCAGTCTTTGGTTGCTAGGACAGTTGGATGATAACATAACACACCTGTCACACTGTAACGCACACTGGGTGCGGTGCGTTAATCGGTTCGGCCCTCTACAGCCATCCCAGTTTCCTACGATGGCCCCTTGAGATGATTAATTGTCCACCCCGGCTGTAGGGCATAGGAACAGAAGCCACCTGAGACCAATCCCATCAGTCCCCGTCCTCACTGAACCAATCCCATCAGTCCCGTCCTCACTGAACCAATCTCATCAGTCCCCACCCTCACTGAACCAATCCCATCAGTCCCCACCCTCACTGAACCAATCCCATCAGTCCCTGTCCTCACTGAACCAATCCCATCAGTCCCCGTCCTCACTGAACCAATCCCATCAGTCCCCGTCCTCACCGAACCAAACCCATCAGTCCCCGTCCTCACTGAACCAATCCCATCAGTCCCCGTCCTCACGGAACCAATCCCATCAGTCCCCGTCCTCACTGAACCAAACCCATCAGTCCCCGTCCTCACTGAATCAATCCCTTTTTCTCCCCTCCTCACTGAACCAATCCCATTAGTCCCCGTCCTCATTGGAACAATCTCATCAGTCCCCGTCCTCACTGAACCAATCCCATCAGTCCCCGTTCTCACTGAACCGATCCCATTACTCCCCACCCTCATTGAACCAATCCTATTAGTATCTGCCCTCACTGAACCATTCCCATTAGTCCCTATCCTCACTGAACCACTACCATCAGTCCATGCCCTCAGTGAACCAATCCCACTAGCCTTTGCTCTCACTTAGCCAATCCCATTAGTCCCCACCCTCACTGAACCAATCCCATTATTCCCCACCCTCACTAAACCAATCCAATTAGTCCCTGACCTAACTGAACCAATCCTATTAGTATCTGCCCTCATTGAACCAATTCCATTAGGCCCCACCCTCACTGAACCAATCCTATCAGTCCCCGCCCCCACTGAACCGATCCCACTAGTCTTCGCTCCCACTTAACCAATCCCATTAGTCCCTGAGCTTCAAGAACACCCTAATATCCCTAACCCCATGCAGACAGTGTTCCTGGCGGCTGTAGAGAATTCATTTTTTGCATGGGACATGGACCATTAGCAAAACGTTATTCCTCAGAGATACTGGAAAGTGTTTTCTGAACCCTTCATCTAAATCAATAAATAAGTGTAAGGCCTTAGGGCACATTTTCCTGGGTCCCCTTTTACACTTTCCTAGGGCCCCATTCAATTGTAAGAATAAGTACACTTTTCACACACCTTTGCTCCTTTATTATATCCGTAATTCATGTTCATAATCCAAAATCTCCATTTTATACCCAGAAGAAAATCAAGTAAGTTTGCAAATGTAACTTTTTACCTTTCCCATGCCGTCCTCTGAGGCCAAACACAGGTCACAGGAAGTTTGACATCAAAGGAAGCTTACAAAGGAAAAACATACTCGTCACTCTCTCTCAGACTTTTACAAGTCAGCTCCACTGTGTAAAATGTCTCCCTCTTTAGAAGTGCCATGACCTTTCTGGTGTTTAAGAAGGGAGGTTCTCCAGGTGAAAAGTTTCCCACACTCAGTACATGAATATAAGCTGTCCCCACTGTGGCTTTTCTGATGGCACTCGAGGGAGGAGTGTGATAAAAATCCTTTGCCACACTCAGAGCAGGCAAACAGCTGCCGATTGGCATGAATCCTCAGGTGGTTGACGAGCTGAGACTTCTGCGTGAAGCGTTTGCCGCAGTCGGAGCAGGAGAACGGCTTCTCGCCTGAGTGGATCCTCCGATGGCGGAAAAGGTTGGCCTTGTGGGAAAAGCGCTTGCCGCAGTCCGGGCAGGTGAGCAGGTGCTGGTCCGTGTGGACCTTCCGGTGCTCGGCCAGAGACGACCTGTCGGCGAAGCTCTTCTGGCACTCGGGGCAGGCATATGGCCTCTCCCCCAAGTGCCTCCTGTGGTGGCCAACCAGACGAGACTTCTGGACAAAGGATTTCCCACACTCCAAGCAGGAGAAGGGCTTCTCTCCGGTGTGGATGGTCCGGTGCTGGTCAAGGTGTGACTTTTGGGCGAAGCTCCTCCCGCATTCGAGGCACGGGTACGGCTTCTCGTCCGTGTGAGTCCTCTTGTGTTTAATGAGCAGGGCTTTCTGAGTGAAGGACTTCCCGCACTCGGAACAGGAGAACGGCCTCTCTCCCGTGTGAGTCCTCTGGTGGGTGACCAAGGTCGACTTGGCCGCAAAGCACTTGCCGCACTCCGAGCAGGAGTATGGCTTCTCCCGCATGAACATATGCTGGTGTTTCATCAGCGACAGCTTCTGGCGGAAGCGCTTGCCGCAGTCCGAGCAGGCGTATGGCTTCTCCCCCGTGTGGATCACCTGATGCTTGACCAGCGATGACTTCAGCGTGAAGCACCTTCCGCATTCCGGCCACGCGAAGGGCTTCTCCCCTGAGTGCATCCTCTGGTGTTGGACAAGGCTGGACTTCTGGGTGAACCATTTGCCGCATTCGGGGCACGAAACCGGCTTCCTGACCCTCCGCTTCCCCTGAGGAGACAGAAACATGTTCTTGGTAAAACTTTTCCAATGTGGAGACTGAACACTTCTGGAAATGTATCCATCTCAAAGTGCACCTCCACTTGAACCTCCGTCAACTTTTATCTGCTATCTGTGGATCCTTCTGGAGGAAGTTCCCCTCACTTGTTGTCCCAGTGTCACCCTAACAGGAAGAAAGGGGAGCTCTCCAACAGTCAGAAACCAAGGTAGGAGAAGGCCAGAGCCCCGTCAGCTGTCTGGGTCCCCGTTACAGATGTCTTACACGTCGTGTCTGATGACAGCGTTGTCCCTGGGACAGGAAGTGAGGGGAAGTCTCCCCAGTAAGGCGCTTCAGACACCAATCGTGTGGATTGGAGGCACTAGATCTGGAGTTGGCCTCCTTTTTCCAAGTGAAGAGAAGTTCAAGTTGGAGAATCCATTGGGTAGGTAACTCTATGAGGTGAAAAGGGCCTCAAAGGCGCCTCAGATGCCTACAGGAAGGTATATGGGATAAAAACAGGCCAGTTGGAACGTTGGGCATGGGCACTCTTTATAAATGCACCCCTTAAAGTGGACCCATACTCTAAAAGTGAAGACCTGCCATGGTATAGGGAAGATTCAAAATTGTTAAGTGTGCCTAAGCACTGGAATTCCACCTAGGCCAAGGATCCAAGGCACTCCTTATCTGTGGCCTCACAGCTGTATATCTGCAATGTGAGATCTAAGGCACTGATGACTCTCATTGCTGGTCTCAGGAGACTTGGTGCTGCTCAGGGTTCCCCTTGCTGGAGGCTCTACCATGAGGAAGCAAAGCCCTGCCTCTACCAAGATGGCCATCTCCACACACACAGCAGAACAAGGCATTGTAATGGTAGAAAGATCAGCTGCATGGACCACAGACAATACTGGTGACTAGTCCTTTCTCCCCTACCGGTCATTTCTGAGCACAGCTTCCAGAGTGTAGGTCCTCCCAACAAGCAGGGGATCCAATGACTACCTACCTGCTTGACATGTGCTGTAACGTGCTTCTCTTCTGGGCAGTCAGCCCCGATGTCGTCCTCTTCCACCTCGCCATCTGGAGAAGAAGCGGGCTGTTGCTCCATGTCACCCCTCCTGTGCTGTCCATCTGGAGGAGCCGAGAAACAGAGAGATGAAAATGTTCCAGATCTTCAGGCATACGGTTTTTCCTCTAAGCTGATTGCTCCAGAAGCCCGTCCTCCACTGGGCACGTAGGGGGTGGTATATAAACCGTTCACACAGCAATATAGCTATGCGAACAAGGCTTGCAGCCCGTTATGGCCACTAGATGGAGCTTTAGAGCATAATGTAATACTGCATTATGGCCACCAGATGGCGCTGAGGAGCGTAGGAATGCTCCTCAGCTCCATCTTTTCTTCCATCTAGTGATCATTAGGGGCCATGAACCTCATTCTCACAGCTATACGCTGTGTGAACGGTTTATAAATCACCCCCTATGTGCCCTCTGACAGAGGAGGGGGGAGAAGAAGAGATTGCTGTAGTGACTGAACAAGGAGAATCTGGGACTGTTTTCTGGATTTAGTGTTTATTCCTCACCTGAACTGATCTCTGGAGGGATCTCCTCCTCCTTATGTTGATCTTCCGCTTCCACTTTCACTTCCACTTTAACGGAAATCAGATTTTCACCCTGAATGCCGCCATATAATACAATCAGCAAAGTATCAGCAAAGGTGCACCCCGGCCCCTAAAGAATCCCGTGCACTGCTTCCCCTCCTGCCGACCAAAGACAGCCATGGCGGATGACGGTGGCGAGATGAGAGGGAGACCAGTGAATGTCTGTTCATCGATCTCCACTCCTGTGAATGAACCTGGAACTGATGAGGAATTTGTCACTTCCAGGTTCAAAGCCATCATTCCTTGGCCACGGCTTCAATGGAGTAGAAAGGTGACATTAGGGATCCCTATAGGCAGTCTGTCCCCTATAATGTTCTACAAGATAGGGAGGTGCTTTATAACTGCTCGTTTGATTTGTGGTTCCTGTTGAGGGAGGAGCCAATCATCTCTCAGGTGGCTGTCCTGGACGAGGATTACGGGACAATACCTAATTGTGATCAGCTCCTGAGTCCTGTTGTGAGCTGACAGCTCACACCATTGTAGGTGGATTGAGTGGTGTCAGCCCTGCCCAATTTATTTTTTCGCTAAACTACTTCAACCATCCTACTCTGCTACACCTTCAGCTCCTCCTACCTGATCCTCCTGAGGGATCTTCTGATGTTCCTGTGTGGAGTCCCAGGAATTCAGAGGGCGGGCCTGAGGCATCTCATGATGTTCCTGTGTGGAATCCAGGGAATACAGAGGACGGGTCTGAGGGATCTCATGATGTTCCTGTGTGGAGTCCCGGGAATACAGCGGATGGGCCTGAGGGATCTCCTGATGTTCCTGTGTGGAATCCTGGGAATACAGAGGACGGGCCTGAGGGATCTCCTTATGTTGCTGTGTGGAATCCTGGCAATACAGAGGACGGGGACATCTCTCTGGGGTATTTCTGTTCCTGGATCCATCTGTAGGAAACACATGCAAGTATAATTTCTTAACTTCCAGTATTACCTCTTACAGAGATAACAGGACTTCCCCTGACAAAGCCATCATCTGCTTTTCTCTCCAGAAAGAGGGCACCATCTTTGTTCAGGCATCAGACAGGGTCATGATCTACTCACTGGAATGAGATGGCACCTCAGAGATGACACGGCCATGTAAACCCCGATGCCTGCAGTTCTCAGCTGTGTTTTCAGCCAGTAGGAGGGGCTGTAGACCATTCGAAAATATAATATCTACCAGGATATTCTTAACTGCTTTGCTGATGGAAGAACTTCTACAGGCCTGAATCGCTGAAGCTCTAAGTTAATGGGGATCCGTGTCCCATCTTAATGAGGAGCTGTGTCCCATCTGCTCTCTAAACTCTGTGAAGCTCCATATAGACTTTAAATTAGAGCGAGACAGTCAGAAAGCAAACAGCTTCTGAAAGATACCCCATAATGCTCTCTGAATCCAGAGCGGCTGCTGCCTTTATTAAATATTTATGAACAGGGAGTGTTTATTACTCACCTGAGCTGATCTCGGGAGGGATTTCCTCCTCCTTACACGGCTCATCACCCCTTATATACGGATCTTCTTCAGCCTCGACTTTAACAACAATCAGACCGTCGCCCTGGATGAGACAGAATGCAACAGGACAAACTAAAAACTGCCTGGTGTGTGAACACTGACTGTGCCCATTATGAGGTGCTCCCACCAGCCCTGTGCTGAGTTCCCGGGTCTGTACCCCCGCTGTGCCCATTATGAGGGGCCCCCACCATCCCTGTGCTGAGTTCCTGGGTCTATACACCTGCTGTGTCCATTATGAGGGGCTCCCACCATCCCTGTGCTGAGTTCCTGGGTCTATACACCTGCTGTGTCCATTATGAGGGGCTCCCACCATCCCTGTGCTGAGTTCCCGGGTCTGTACACCTGCTGTGCCCATTATGAGGGGTTCCCACCATCCCTGCACTGGGTTCCTGGGTCTGTACACCTGCTGTGCCCATTACGAGGGGCTCCCACCATCCCTGTGCTGAGTTCCTGGGTCTATACACCTGCTGTGTCCATTATGAGGGGCTCCCACAACCTCTTAGTTTTTAGGTCCCTACACCTGCTGGAACATATCCAAGACATGATTCAATGAGACAAGGTTCTTGCATGCTTGTGGAATATAATTCCTTCTACCTGATCCTCCTGAGGGATCTCCTGATGTTCCTGTGTGGAGTCCCGGGAATACAGAGGACGGGTCTGAGGGATCTCCTGATGTTCCTGTGTGGAATCCCGGGAATACAGAGGACGGGCCTGAGGGATCTCATGATGTTCCTGTCTGGAGTCCCGGGAATACCGAGGATGGGGACATCTCTGTGGGGTATTTCTGTTCCTGGATCCATCTGTAGGAAACACACACACTGACTGAATACATTGTTTCTATGTCTTTATATCAGAGGATGTGTGTATCTAGGTGGATCCTCAATACTCAAGAAATGAAAGTCTCCTCTTACCCGGTGATGTGAGGAGCGGCCGGTTCTCCATCATGACGTCCTTGTAGAGATCCTTGTGTCCTTCTAAACACTCCCATTGCTCCATGGAGAAAACATCCAAACCTCATCCATACCTGGCGAAACACCTATGAGAAGGAAGATAAACATTACTGGTGGGAAGGACTCCTAAAATTGACATCAACCAACCTTGGTAGACATTAGTTACTGTTGGTTTAGCCTCCATATTGGTTGCAGGGTCTCTTTCCTGGAGAAGGGAATGTCCTTAGGAGGTTGGGACCAAATGATGGCCACCACATTGAAGCACACCCTTCTAGATGTTGTTGGAGATGGCGCAGGTAGGATCTACATGTCCACCTAAGCTAGACATGGCCAAGTCTTGCATCAGAACCAATCAATGTGATAATTATTGAGGCCGGCATGAATAAAAAAATGCTTTTTATATAGTGGTTATCGTTGAATCCTAAAGGTGACCAGTTCTTTATAACCAATTCAGTACATTCATAACAAGACATTCTTCTCACCTCCTCCCTATACAACCACTCTGCAGACTCTCTACTAGAGCTCCTCCCTGGGCTACAACAAAATGTCCGCCTCCTGCAATGAAGACGGTCATTTGTACACATTTTATGTCAGATTGTATCTAATTTTCTGGATCACAATAAGTGCACATTGTTACCTTCTCACCATTCAGATAATGTCCAACCATAGACCCCACCAAGAGAATGCCATTCATCTCTCAATCTGACTCCTCTGGGCTACAACAAAATGTCCGCCTCCTGCAATGAAGACAGTCATCCAAACACATATATAATGTCTGCTCCCAGCCTGTGTGTATAATAATTGCATATTATACATTATTACCTTCTCACCATTCAGATAATGTCCAACCATAAACCCCACCAAGAGAAGCCATACATCTCCCAATCTGACTCCTCTCCTCTGCTCTGGGCTACAACAATATGGCTGTGAGAAGAGCCCACCTACTGATCTCAGCTCACACAGGGCTCCCTCTAGAAGGCAAATGCTCCATACTCTACCTCTGTGGAAGGGGGTGGCCATATTGTTGTAGCAAAGACAACCTTCACGTTCAAGTGTAAAGAATTTTGGTTTCCAATGAGCCACGTGTTATTTCTTGATAAAAAATAATGTTGTTGCAGTCATAAAATTAAATATTTCAAAGGGTTTATTTTCTGTTAAAGAGCTGGTGGACATTTTGTCGTAGCCCAGAGAAGAGGACAGGGAGGAGCTCCAATGAGAGCAGAATGTTCCTAGTGGGGGGCTTGGGCTGGAGAATGACTGCACTGGGACAAGGAGGTAATAATGTCTGCGTTTTATTACACAGGGGAGAGGAAGATAGAACATGGCATCCGTAGTACATATCCGACACATTGTACACCAAGACCAAATCAGACATTATTGGGGACATCAGTAAAATCTGGGGAGTTATCCATACGAACCAATGGGGCAATACCTCTTCTCTTGTAATCTGCACCGAAACGATGGCATCTGGCATGCCATTGGCTTGAGTAGTCAAAAGAACCTCCTGATGATGTTGATGACTCCTTCCGTCAGTGATGGGTATTAATATTATCCTACATACATGCTCTGGGTAAGGACAGGCATGTATCAAGTAATGTTCTACCGCAGGGGTAGGCAACCTCATGGCACTTGTAGTTTCACCACAGCTGGAGAGCCAAGGTTGCCTATACCTGGTCTACTGCATCTCCACAGTTCCTTACATTGTTCCGTCCATATGTTGGCCAGTTGTGATGCTCTAATGGAAAACTCATTGATGGCCAATTCACAGATTTATGCAGAGGGTCCCGGAGATCAGCATCGTTTGAGGTCATCTTCTGGGGTAGGCACATTTATGAACATGAGAGCTCTGGGTTGAACATGAGAGCTCTGGGTGAAATGTTGCAAAGGAGATGATGGCTCGGCCAAGTGGTGGATTATAGTTGGAGCTTCTCTATGGTAGACCGAGTGTATGAAGATAAAGAGGATAGGTCATTGGCTAATATCTTCTCGTTGATACTTGCGTTTGACGATAAGACCAGGTGGAAAATTATTCCCTGATCTCCTCTCTGATTAGGGGCCATGATGAGAAGAAAGCTTCCTTTACACCTATGGCCCAAAAGCCCCTGGAGTGGAGAACAGGGCTTGAGGGGGCACAGAATGGCACAAGTGCCAAAAGTCCAGTCTACGGTGGTTCACTTCCAGCAGAGAAGGCTTGACTGCGAGGTGCTCGTGTACACAATTGGAAAGATCACCGAGGAGCAAGGTCACAGGAGAAGTCACCATGGGGAAACTGACTGCACAGCAGCTGGCTTTTAACCCTTCCCTATTCCATCCAAAATGAATAAAAAAAGTGTTGGCTATACATACACTTTAATTGTTGGGAAAGTTAACAGATATTGTGAGTCATATATCTTCCTTCCTTTCTGGTCTCATCTACTGCAGGTAAACAGAGAGCATCCAACCAGCTGGTTTGTTTTCTAGATATGGACATGGGAAGCTTTTAGAAGGACACAAGGATCTATACAAGGAGATCATGATGGAGGACAACGAGGAGGACAGCCTAAACATCATTAAAGTTGAAGCTATGGATGATGACGAAGAGATGAATGATGATCTGTGTAAGGAGGAGGAACGTTCTCCAGAGGTCAGCACAGGTGAGGAATAAACACGAAGTCCAGAAAAGAGTCCCAGATTCTCCTTGTTCAGTCACTACAACAATCTCTTCTTCTCCCCCCTCCTCTGTCAGTAGACAGTAATGGGGGGACGGAATGTGTCTAGTGGGGGGAGTCAGGAGCCATCAGCGCTATTAGACTCCGGCTCTCCTCCTCACATCATGTCATTGTGTGTTACCAGCCAAGAGACGTGACCAGTCTCCCGCAACACACACTCTCTGGGGTCTCATACATCTCGGGAGGCTTCATTCTCATCTTTATGTGCAGGCACTGGAGGCACCGGAGCTACTCAGAGAAATGTCAGTGTTGAGGAGGAGGAAGAAAGACATCTGAGGTTAAAAGAGTAATGGGGGGACGGTATGTGTCTAGTGGGGGGAGTCAGGAGCCATCAAACTCTCTTAGACACCGGCTCTCCTCCTCATATTATGTCATTGAGACGTGGCCAATCTCACCCCACACACACTCTCTGGGGTCCCTCATACATCTCAGGAGATTCAATCTCATCTTTATCCACAGACCCCGAAGACACCAGGGTGACTCCAGAAGACGTTGTGTTGGAGAAGGAAGGAAGACCTCTGAGGGTTAAGGAGGAGGAGATCCCTTCAGAGATCAGCACAGGTGAGTACTAACTTCTAAATCCAGAGAAGACTCCCAGATTCTCCTTGTTCGGAGACATTTTATTGGCTGTTTGCTTCTGTACATTGGTCTCCAATGGAGCATTTGGAAACAAAAGGAACTGGGCTGATGGGTGGAAAGAGAGAGACCAACATGTTCTATGAAAAGAGTCAACCTAACATCCCTTGTGGTGATCCTTGACAGGCAGCCTTGAGCACACACTTCTAAAGGAATTCCAGTGGTGATTCCTTTATGATAACAGCTGCAGGCACCCTAATCGGGGGAATTGGAACTGGCACAATCCACTTTGGTTCCTCATAGCAACAGCAGGAGGAAGGTGAAAAGGTGTGCTTGCTAACTTGATACACGATGATACACTGCTTCTACGTGTAAAATGTTTCCAGCAAGTTCTAGCTTATTCTAAATGATGGCCCTGGGAAGTTAGGTTGTGGAAAGATAGGTGTCTTTGTCGATTGGCTTTAGACTTGTGTGGATGGCGTCCATTTGCGAAGCTTCTGAGATCATTCAGAATTCATTCATATGTGCATTAGGCCTGCAGTTGACCTTCTTCTGACCTGCAGTTGACCTTCTGACCTGCAGTTGACCTTCTGACCTGTGGTTGACCTTCTTCTGACCGGCTGTTGACCTTCTTCTGACCTGCAGTTGACCTTCTTTTGACCTGTGGTTGGCCTTCCTCTGACATGCACTTGACCTGCTTCAAGCGGGTTTTGAATTCCCATAGACTTATATGGGAATACAAAATCCAATTAAATAAAAGAAAGGTCTGTTGACACAGGCCCATAAGTCAATCTTTCTCAACCCAGAGGAACCCCTAAATTATTTCCAGGTCTCAGGGAACCCCTGCTGAAACCAGTTCATTGGAGGTCTGTGGGAAAAATGCCCCCTACATTGGTGGTCCAATTGCCACCCTTACAAACAGCTAAATTAGTCTCTGGTATCATTCCGATGGCTTTGCCATGTGGCCTTGGCTCACTTAAATGGGAGGTCCATTGGCCACAACTGAAAGAACCCCTTGCACCCTCTGGAGGAACCCTGGTTGAGAATGGCGGCCTAGGTGCTGCTTGCTCTGGTGTTGTGAGGAGCGAAAGGGACAAGCAGACACTGAAACCTCTTGTGCTATCCTCCTTGTAGATTTCCATACATCATCTCAGTGTCAGCAACTGTCATCCCTGTTTTCCTCCTTCACCGCATGATCTATATATCTATAAGAGATGCTCCATAACCACCCAAAACCTTGTGTTACCATTCAAAATACAGACAAAAAAGAAGTTGCATCCTTGGTTGTGACATACTGTAACTTGTGTGTCCTGCAGATGGATCTGGCAACAGAAACCCATCAGAGACATGTCCTTGCCCTCCACCTTCCCAGGAGTCCACACAGAAAAGTCATAAGATGTCTCAGGTTTATCAGGTAGATGGACATACAAGTGTGAATATATATGATCTGTACATAGGTTCGGGTCTCTTTAATTATTATAATACATGTCATTATTTTTCTTTGCAGGCTGCAGATCTGCTTAATATTCAAATCATCGTCAAAGAGGAAGAAGAGGAGATCCCTCCAGAGATCAGCACAGGTAATAGATACGAAATCCAGAAAAGAGTCCCAGATTCTCCTTGTTCAGTCACTACAACAATCTCTTCTTCTCCCCCTCCTCTGTCAGTAGACAGTAATGGGGGGACGGAATGTGTCTAGTGGGGGGAGTCAAGCCCCCTTTTCTGTCAGTAGACAGTAATGGGGAGACAGTATGTACCCAGGGTCAGATTTCATTCAACTGCTTGTATGCCAAGCTTGTATGCCAAGTGGTGTCTCCAAAAATATAAAATGTTGGTAATTACTCTGTAAAGTTTCAGAACTTGCATCCAATTCATTGAGTGATACACTGTATGGCCAAACATTGGTGGACACCTGAATGAGCTTGTTGGACATCCAATTCCAAAACCATGGCCATTCAGATGGCGTTGGCCTCCGTTTGCAGCTATAACGACCTCCACTCTTCTGGGATATAAGACTTTGAAGGTCTATAATACCCTCCACTCTTCTGGGCTATAAGACTTTGAAGGGTGTCTGTGGGAATATGTGGCTATTCTGCCAATGGGGCATTTTGGAGGTCAGATGTTGATGACCTGGCTTGCCACCACATTCCATATCATCACCAAGGTGTTCAGTGGGGTCGATGTCAAGGCTCTGTGGAGACCACTCATGTTCCTCCACACTAGATGAGTGAGACCACGTCTATATGGATCAGGCTTTGTGAATGGGGCATGATGGAACAGAAAAGGGTCTTCACCAAACTATTGCCACAAGGTTAGAAGCTATAACATCGTCCACTCTTCTGGGATATAAGACTTTGAATGGTGTTTGTGGGAATTTGTCCCTATTCTGCCTATGGGGCATTTACGAGATCAGGTGTTGATGACCTGGCTTGCAACCACGTCCCATATGATCACCAAGGTGTTCAGTAGGGTTGATATCAAGGCTTTGTGCAGACCACTCATGTTCCTCCACACTAGATGAGTGAGACCACGTCTATATGGATCAGGCTTTGTGAATGGGGCATGATGGAACAGAAAAGGGTCTTCACCAAACTATTGCCACAAGGTTGGAGATGCTCAATTGTGTAAAATATCTTTGCATGATGTAGCATTACCAGAACCCTTCAATGGAAGCATCTGAACTCAATAATTAGGAGGCGTTACCACATGTTTAGTCAATTTGGTGTGATGGTCAGGTGTCCACAAATGTTTGGCCATATAGTGTATCTCAAAAGGTTCCCTTTATAGCTCTGTATTTTGAATGGCCTATTCTTTTCCCTCTCTTATGTCCTCCAGATGGCCAATACCAAACTCATGCCTTGTCCTCGCCAGACGATGAAGGAGAAGGAGCTTCCAATCCCATTGGTCCTCATAACGCCCGTAGAGGGGATGAATCGTCTTCGTGTTCTAAGTGCGGAAAGTGTTACAGCCGGAGGTCAAGCCTCCTCAGACACATCCAGACCGTCCACTTGGGGGAGAAACCTTATTCGTGCTCTGAATGTGGCAAGTGCTTCGACCAGAACTCCAATCTCATCAAGCACCAGAGAGTCCACACGGGGGAAAAGCCGTTCTGCTGTTCGATCTGCGGGAAGCGCTTCGGCGAAAAGTCGAACGTCGTGCTCCACGAAAGGACCCACACTGGAGAGAAGCCATATTCCTGCTTTGAATGCGGCAAATGCTTCGCCCAGAAAGCCTCCTTGGACTCCCACCAGAGGACTCACACAGGCGAGAAGCCGTTTTCCTGCCCCGAATGTGGCAAGCACTTTACCAACAAGAGAACGCTCATCAGCCACCGCAGGATTCACTCGGGGGAGAAGCCCTATGAATGCTCCATATGTGGGAAGTGTTTCACCGACAAGTCAGACATGGTGAAACATAAGCGGATCCATACGGGTGACTACCCCTATACTTGCTCCGAATGTGGCAAAGGCTTCATCGCCAGGTCCGTCTTTATCATACACGAAAAGATGCACTCGGGCGAGAAGCCCTATTCCTGCTCGGACTGCGGGAAAGGCTTCACCAAGAAACAGCATCTCATGGACCATATGAGACTTCACACGGGTGAGAAACCGTTTTGCTGTCTGGACTGCGGGAAGTTCTTTAGGCAGAAGTCGGGGCTGGCCAAGCATCGGAGGAAAATGCACAAGATAGGAGTTGTCATCATCTGAGCTGTCAGTCTTCATGACAGTTTGTGGTTCCATCCTTGATTCTTGGACAGAAGTCACCTTGGGTGTCCTGCCTGAATCTGAACTGTTTGCTTCACACCATAGCGGCCCCCCAATGGGTTCAACCCTCCTCATCTATACTGTGGGTCTTACCGATCAAGATGGCATGGCAGGAATCCATCGGTGCAACCCAGTGTGTTTTTACTTGGCCTCCATATATGACATTCACAGCTTAGACCTTTCTAAAGAAGGTCTAATATCGCATGGTGGAGAAGCTCTTGAGATGTCTTGAGATCTCAGGCGTTCTTCATAGTTCACATTGACCCCTTTTCCACCTAGTCACCTCCAGCTTCTTTGGATCGGTTGTGCTGATGGCGGCAGTTGGACCTTGTATGAAAGGTGAAGCAACCGATCATGATTCCGTAAGGTACTAAAACGCCCCATCCTACAGATGTTATGGAAGTCCATGGACCTGAAAACATTTCAAACTTTTTGTGTTTGCTTTTTAAACATTCTGATGGACTCGGTTTTAAGATTTCAGGGACCTCTAAATGGCTCAGCAAGGTCTCGCGCTTCTTAGAGTATCTCAGTAACTATTGTAGAAGAATTGCAGTGAGAAGGGGATGTCCACCATGCCTGACCTCCGAGGATGCCTCACCACCTCCCCCACCCACTTCTGCCCTTTAAGTTGGCGTCAAAGCAAGAGGCAGTTAGGAAGGCTCTGATTAAACAATGCCTGTGATTGGCTGCACACTGATGACATAATCGGGAGCCCCTCCTACTAGTCAGTAGTTGACCATGAACTGTTGGTGACAGCTTGGTCATAGTTCTGGGCGTGCTGATTGAGCATGCCCATAGAACAATACAGGGCTGTATGTATGTGGCAGCTCACTGTTAAGGCCCGCCTCCGTACTTCTTCATGGGGGTGCTTGAACTGGTGAGTGGAGGCCCAATCCAGACCCCTCATGCAGCTCCGCATTATGAGATCACTACTAATAGTGATCTACTGCTTCATGGGAGGTTCTACAGAGCTGGAACCCATCTAAAGCCTGCTGGCATTACAGGGCTGTAGCCACCATGATGTGATGTGGAGGATAATGAAGTGCAGTATTTGTTTAATAGAGTCCTCAAGACCCTCCATACATGAAAAGGAAGGAACGTTATTGTAAATGACACTGAGGCATGATACGAGTAGATGCCAGATGTCCCTCAAGTCTGTTTTGAAGGGTTCCGTGCATTTCAATGAAGGGCCGCCCCAATTGGGCAGTCAACTGCTACCGACCTACGTTCCTCGCATGTCTTGGTGATTTGAAGGACAATAGAGTGATAGACATTTTGCCTCAGCGGCTAGGTGTCCTACCTGGTCAATTAGAAGAGAGTCTACAGGCTGCTGGCCACAAGGTGCAGGTCATTCCAGGTGTATGTGCTAAGCTATGACACCACCGTCCTTTCTACTACAATAAAGCTATCGGCCTTTTCAAGATCCAGCAGCCTGGAGCTCCATTTGGCACGATGGTCCCACTTCCTTGTCCTGCCTGGACTCACGGTGGTGCTTTGCAAGTTGAAGTCCTTTCGGTCTAATGGTGGGACGTTTTACCACATCCAGTTGACGCCAGGTACAAACAGTCATGGAGGTTGCTAGAAGACATCAGACCACATTATTCTAGATAAAGGAACCACTGCTGAGGTAGGGAGATGGTGTAATGTCAGTGGGAATGTTCTATGATGGCCTTATCATCCGCCATATTTGTTTGGATCGGTTGACTTGGACATCTGTGTGACTTGCTGTGGTTACATTCTAAAGCATTATGACTGTAATGTTATGCTTGCCTACCCCCCAAACCAAGGGTTCAATAAAGTTTAATTGAAAATACAAGCGGTGGGAAGACTTTTTTAATGTACCAGGCTCGATTTACATCTCATGGGTCGTCTAGGCCAAAGTCCTAAGTCTAAAGTAAAGCTTATCTCAAGACAAAATCTTTTTTTTAGTTTTGGATAGCGTTGGGAGGAGTTAAACATTTTTGTCAGGTTTTATTTCTGTCGGTGACACCATTGGGGAGATATTCCCTCATTTCCTGTCCTTGTGACGCTGCTACACGAAACTTGGAGAGAGCAGTTGTCACTGGTACAGGAACTTGTACATGGAAAGCCTGATCTCTGTCTATTTCCAAGCTGTTGACCCAAAAAGCACTGAAGCCAGACGCACAGCATGAGAGCCAGACAGCCAACATCTTCAGAAGGAAGGGTCAGCAATGGCCTGGCTTTCGGAAAAGTTAGGATTTGTATTCCGCACATGCTGGAGCTGAAACTCGGACAAGCCAGACTCGGTGTTGTCACCCTGTGCTGTTCTGTGACAGGTTCACTTTAAATATGTCAGGAACCAATTACAGGAATATCATTGTGAATATCATTATGTATAATTACCACAGAATAGTTTTTTTATTATATTTAAAATTGCTCAAACTTGATATTTATTGAGAAAAATATTATTTATTAACAAATGAAAAAATAATAACATTGAGAGCACTGCCGCCCCGTGGCTTCAGCACTTCCGCTGTATGCGTTGCCATAGTGACCCGCAGCCGGTGATGTGTCGAAAGTGCGAACTTATCGAGTTGTGGGACCGCATTACTTCCGGTTTCCTCAGTACTACGAGGTTTTTACACAAAACATGTTGTGCACGAGCGCCATCCACGGCATTGCCCTATAGACATAGACCACAGCAATAAAGTAATAAAATGATGTAGGATGACAGTAAGCCAGCGCGTTGTTTATCTCCGGTGCCCCACTCAATATGGCCACCGCTTGAGTGGGGCACCTGAGATAAAGAACGCGCTGGCTTACTGTCATCCTACATCATTTTATTACTTTATTGCTGTGGTCTATGTCTATAGGGCAATGCCGTGGATGGCGCTCGTGCACAACATGTTTTGTGTAAAAACCTCGTAGTTCTAAGGAAACTGGAAGTAATGCGGTCCCACAACTCGATAAGTTCGTAGTTTTGATCGATCACTCCCAGCATAGGGACAGACCAATGTGGAGCCACAACCACCGCTAGAGGGCGACCGTCTGCCGTGTGATACGGCAAGTGGCTCTGGGTTCCAAACAGTCATTATCGATAGAACACCGGAAAGTGTTATGACGACGGCCATTTTGTTGTAGCCCGAGATTTGCAATGTTAAACTAGGAAGATTTTTTCAGTTCTACCAGCAAGATATTCGCTTGTCATATTATTGGCTATTGAGGTTGTAAAATATATCAAATAATAAGTGGTTTTATTGTAGTATTTACTAGCAGCTGTGTACACCATTTAGGAAAACAGAGGGAGCCCTGGACCTCAGTAACAGCTCACCAATCACCACTTTGAACAGAAAGTAGGCATAGCGGGTCCCCAGCACAGGGGGCGGCCATTTTGTTGTAGCCCAGAAAAGAAGGTAAGGCTTTCAAGCCGTTTCAGAATCCTTGGTGTGAGGCTGAAGGGTGTGCACCCAGTGAGGAGGAGGAGGTAATAATGTCCTCTTATTCTGACAGAAGGGGTCCCAACGCTCTCTGGTGACCGGGAGGTTGTAGAAAGGTTTTGCCCCTGAAACCAGAGCTGTTCGTGGCTGAGCAGGAGAGGACTGCAGCTTCATATATAAGGTTTCTCCATTTTGAGATGGATCAATGACTTTCATTGTTGCCCTTGTACATTGTCCAGGCATCTGGTGTGAAGAGGCTCATGTTGGCTGGAAATGTATTGTGGGCAATGGTTAGTTTGTTGCCCCGAGCTCACATATAGTGTGGTGGGAATGTCATAGAGTGGGGTGGTTTAGAAGCCACCAGACGTTCCTGGAGAGCTGGAGAACATGGACCTCCACTGACCACGATAGAAACATGGTTAGGTGCCCACTTTATATGTGGGCTTGTTGGCTCCTGAGATTTCCTTTTCCCTCATTTATGGTTTTCTTCTTCCATTGTGCTAGATAACTCCTTCTTGGTTGCAGAACTGCTGATCCCACTCCAGACCCCATCATCGAGGATGAAGAAGAAGCCGAGACACATCAATGACGAGATATTACAGCTCACCCTGGAGATCATCTACCTGCTGACCGGAGAGGTGAGGAGGATCTGGGAGGTCACATGACATCACTCTTATCCCTATTAATAAGACACAGACCTGACCGGAGAGGTGAGGAGGATTCTGGGAGGGTTACATGACATCACTCTGACCTCTATTAATAACCTTAGAGGTAACAGGTGTTATGGGACAGGTAGCTACCGTATGTTTCTGCTTGATACCTATTATTTTATCTCATTATGTAGACTTATGGACCCATAATGCCGAAAAACAGTGATCCTCCACCTCCCTCCCTGACAGATGAGAGGAACCATGACAAGAAGATTCTAGAAGTCATCCAGAAGATCATCGAGCTGCTGACAGGAGAGGTGAGCGGTGTCGGGAATTCTGGGACATGATCCAGGAACAGACAAGGGGTGTGTCTGGATGGTGACTGTATCATTGTGTGTGTCAGGTTCCTATAAGGTGTCAGGATGTCTCTGTCTATCTCTCCATGGAGGAGTGGGAGTATCTAGAAGGACACCGGGATCTCTACAAGGACGTCATGATGGAGAACCGGCCGTTCCTCACATCACCGGGTAAGAGGAGACTTTCATTTCTTAAGTATTGAGGATCCCCCTAGATACACACATCCTCTGATATAAAGACATAGAAACAATGTATTCAGTCAGTGTGTGTGTTTCCTACAGATGGATCCAGGAACAGGAATACACCAGAGAGATGTCCCCGTCCTCTGTATTCCCGGGATTTCACACAGGAACATCAGGAGATCCCTCAGGCTCGTCCTCTGTATTCCTGGGATTCCACACAGGAACATCATAAGATCCTTCAGACCCGTCCTTTGTATTCCCAGAATTCCACACAGGAACATCATGAGATCCCTCAAAATCATCAGGTAGGAAGATCTAACTGAATTAAACGTTTTACATTATCTAGTTACACGGATGCAAAGTGCAGGAACTGTATCAGGTCATTTCTGATTGGCTGCTTTTCTTTGTAGAAAGAAAGTGTCATTAAAACTGAAGTAGAAGAAGAAGAAGGTCCATATGTGATGGGTGATGATGAGTCATGTAAGGAGGAGGAAATCCCTCCAGAGATGAGCACAGGTGAGGAATAGACACAAAGTCACATGATATGGATTTATAAATTGAGTAACCAATCCTCTCCTCCAACTCTTTTGTCTTCCAGATGGATGCCACATGAGGACCAACATGGAGAACTATCCTGTATCTTCTTCAGAGGGTGAAACAGAAGACAACATCCCATTGGACTGTCAAGGGGAAAACCCCATAACCCCCAATCTCCATCCAGTACTTCAGAGTGCAGATCTCTTATCTGTTCCCTCAACACCCAAAGGAAGTCTGTTTGGTCCCATGTACACTTCACCCCACCATAGCGAAATACTTTCTTGTTGCGAGTGCGGTGAATGTTTCACTGAGAGGTTGGAACTTACCATGCACCAAAACTCCCACGCAGCAGGGAAGCCTTTTTCATGCCCCAATTGTGGCAAATGCTTCAAGGAGAGGGGAAATCTCACGGCCCACCTCAAAATTCACACTGGGGAAAAGCCTTTTTCCTGCCCCGAATGTGGGATTTCATTTACGAGCGAACCCCAACTGAGGAGACACAGAAGAGTCCACGCCGGAGAGAAGCCCTTTTCCTGCTCCGAATGCGGCAAAAGCTTTATCCAAAAATTCCGCCTCGTGCAGCACATCCGTACCCACACCGGGGAGAAGCCTTTCTCCTGCCCCCAGTGTGGGAAGAGCTTCGCCTCGAGATCCAGCCTCTTTGTGCATCAAAAAGTTCACTCGTTCGAGAAGCCGCATTCGTGCCCCCAGTGCGGGACCTGTTTTAAGCAGAAAAACAATCTTAAGAAACATCTGAGGAAGCACACCGAAGAAAGACAATTCTCCTGTGCCGAGTGCTGGAAGAGTTTTATGAGGAAGGACGAACTGGAGACTCACCAGAGGTCCCACACAGGAGAGAAACCGTTCTTGTGCCCCGAGTGTGGCAAACGTTTTCAGATGAAGTCTTCTCTTGTTAAGCACACCAAGAACCACACAGGGGAAATGCCATATTCATGCTCCGACTGCGAGAAAAGCTTTCCGACCAAATTCCGGCTGGACAGCCATAGAAGGGTCCATGTCGAGAAACAGCCTTATTATTGTTCTGTGTGCCGGAGGTGTTTTACCCAGAAATCCAGTCTCGTTATACATGAAAGGGTCCACATAGGAGAGGAGCCACTGTCGTGGACAGAGCACGGGGCGTGCTACATGAGGAAGGGGATGTGATCACCCATTAGCTGTCCATTTTGAGAACTTGGGAATTTTCCAATTTTTCTTGGGACCACAGCAAGCTTACAATTCAAGAGTTCCGAAAATTCCATCCAAAAAATGATAGCTCACTAGACCCCCCCAGTAAAGTTGACTTGTGGTGGACAATTCCTTTTGGAGAGTTTCCTCCAGCAGAAATCTGTAGACCATCAGTATGGTTGACTTGTGTTGGAGATTTCCTTTGAAGAGTTTACTCCAGAAGAAACCTGGAGACCCTCAAAGTTGACTTGTGGTGGAGATTTCCTTTGGAGAGTTTCCACCAGAAGAAATCTGGAGTCCCCCAGTAAAGTTGACTTGTGGTGGACATTTCCTTTGGAGTTTCCTCCAGAAGAAATCTGGAGACCCTCAGTAAAGTTGACTTGTGGTGGACATTTCCTTTGGAGTTTCCTCCAGAAGAAATCTGGAGACCCTCAGTAAAGTTGACTTGTGGTGGACATTTCCTTTGGGGAGTTTCCTCCAGAAGAAATCTGGAGACCCCCAGTAAAGTTGACTAGTGGTGGACATTTCCTTTGGGGAGTTTCCTCCAGAAGAAATCTGGAGACCCCCAGTAAAGTTGACTAGTGGTGGACATTTCCTTTGGGGAGTTTCCTCCAGAAGAAATCAGGAGACCCCTCCAGTAAAGTTGACTTGTGGTGGACATCGGGTTTCTCCTAGTTGAGGCATCGAGGATAATAGGGGTCTTTCGACAGCAAACTTTTCTATCTGCTGGATTTGGGTTCTAAATCTTTGTATTGTGTAAGGGGAAAGGTGACACAAGCTATCCTCTCTTGTACAAGAGTTACAAGTAGGGATGTCCCGATACCGGTGCTAGCATCGGAATCGGGCCCGATACAGGGCATTTTGACAAGTACTTGTACTTGTCAAAATGCCCCG